GACCCTGATGCTGGGAAAGATTGAAGGCAAAAGGAGAAGAGGACGGCAGAGGATGAGATGGTTAGATAGCATCACTGAAGCAATGAGCATGAAACTGAGCAAACTCAGGGAGGCAGTGAAGGACAGGAAGGCCTGGCGCAATATGGTTCATGGGGTCACGAAGAGTCGGACACGACTTAACGACTAAACAACAACAAGTCCTTGCCAACTGCAATTGGGTTAGGGTTAGGGTTAGGGTCATAACAGTCATTAGGCCCAACATCACATGATTGCGACTTGTAACTTCTTGCTGGCTTTCCCATTGACTTTGCTTGTCAGAAGCCATCTGTGAAGGTTGCAAGTGGCTATCGCGTGACCGCAGGACATTGTGACTGTCATAAACACGTGCCAAGTGCATGAAACACGATCATATGACTGCAGGAACACTGCAAGGGCCGCAACTTTGAGGACCCATCATAAGTCATGCTCATTTAGCACCATCGTAACTTTGAATGGTCACTGAATGAGTAGTCAGTAAGCGAGGACTACCTGTACTACCTTCCTCTCTCTCTCTCTCTCTCTCTCTCTTTTTTAGTTTATACTTCAAAACAGTAAATGTAGCTGAGGGACATGACTCTCCAGCTGCTGCTGAACTCTCAGCATCCTCTGCTTTTGCCTATAATGGCTAGTAGTGCTGAAGGGTTCAACAGTGTTGGAAAGGGAGAGATTCTTTTCCTCTGACTTACGCCTTATCCCAGCTGAAATATAGCCTAAAAGTGTATACTACATCTGCTCCTATGTACAGTATCATATACTTTAGCTCCTACCCCTTCCTTTTCTTGTACATTTCATCTCATCAGTTTCCTGTGTCAAAATGGACATTACATGGTTCTGAAATTTGTCACTTTTTTCATTTTACCCTGTAAAGTTGCTGTCACTGTATCAGTAGTATTAAAATATGGTGGTAACATTTTGGTGCCCATAAATTAGAAGATGTAACTCCATTTTGGGTTAGTTGTGTTAATCACTTCTTTGCTCTGGTTCTTAGTTCAACATCTCTTTGAGACTTCTCTGTTCTGACAAGTTAGTAATTAGGAGTTTCTGACTGATGTCTATTTAACATTAAGCCTGTTTTGGACACCAAATAGTTTTTTCTAATTCCTTATGTTGTTTATATTTTAAATATGCTTGTGAATGTTCTGGTTGCAAAAGTAGATCAGAATAATTGTTCATAATAGCAGTAGTATTCAGGTTAAAGAAGCTGGCATTGCTGAAACCTGAAGGTGTGCTGTTCCTAATCGAAGGTGATTGAAGAAGGTGCTTTTCTCCTAAACCATCCTAAAGGATATTCAAATACTCAAATATACATAAGAACCTCTCCCTTTCCCTTACTGTTTATTTCTATAGTAAAGTCTGGAAGACAACTTCCCAAAACCCCATGAGCCAGGTTTTCGTCTTAAAGACTCCCAGATTTCACCAACTGAAACAGCTTTCCAGCTTGGTTTATGGTTAGGCAGAAACGTTGCTATTTAGAACACATGCTCAGTTGACACTGAGACTAACTCTAATCTTTTTATTTAAAACCACAGATGACAGCAGCCTGCTAAACTTGACTCCTTACCCATTAGTGCGAAGACGGAAGAGAAGATTCTTTGGATTGTGCTGTCTTGTCTCCAGCTAAATGATCCATTTCAGAAGAGCATAGATGACTGCAGCCAATACAAAATGACCTTTATTGGGATCAGTTGAAATGCTCTAAGTGATCATGTGTGTTTTCTACATGCCCCTAATTAGATTTCTTCCCTCCTTTTCAAGAGTTTTACAGTTTGTTGCTGACAAGAACCAAATTCAGAAACCCAATTAAACATCATCAAGAATATTTTTAAACTTTTTTTAATGGCATACAGCATGTCTACTTTAAACCATTCTGTGATTAGATGCAAATATTATGATTATTAACTAAAACATGCAGATTTTTTATTTAGCGTACAAGCCACAACCAATTATGTACAGTGCAACAGTATGACTGTAGCTCTTGCTAGTATGTTAAACATTTGAACATATTCTATTAAGCAATCTTAATCCATAGAAAACTGTTTAGAACAGCAAAATTGTGCTTAAATTCTAAAATGCTAAAATAAACAGAGCCAATATTGTACGAGAACATACACACACTCTCCTATTGCTTTTTGTGCTCTCATTCATATTTAGTCTTCCACTCTATATCACAACCTATACAAGATCTTCATAGTACAATTTCTTAATTTCTAATACATAAGCAACATAACATTGATATGTTGTTCCTGTAAATATGAGATAATATCTACATATTGTACAATGCATAGGAATAGCTATTTTACTTTTTTTAAAGAAAAACCCGAACATGTATCTGTTACAACCTTGAGTAGAAAAGTTTAAAAGATGGTGTGGGAAACAATAAAATCCACTGATGTGAAACAGATTATCTCATTTTGTTTCCTGTAAAGGTTGAAGCATGGTGTCAGAACATCACCTTAGTGTTATTGCTTATAGGGCATGCCAGAATAGCTCTAACTGTAAAATATAAAACATTTTACATTGTTAATAAATATTTTTTAGTTAAACTAAAAGATGTCTTCTTGGTAATATTTGTACTAAATGTCATTTTTGATTCCCAAGCATCATATCTATGACAGTTCTGTTTTAGAACCATCAGTGGTTTCAGATCTGGCTCTCTCGCTAATCCTTTTCTACCCCTACAACCAAAGAGAACGAAGGAATGATCTGTGGCAAAGTCCTTCCACCTCCCACCCTGCTCTTCCAATCCCATACACACACATTCAAATGCCCAGACTAGGGTCTTTTGCTCCACATCAGCATGTACTGTGCATAGAGCATACTATGCTGCATTTTTTCTTGTTTCTTTTTTTCCTCAGAAGCCGTTTGATTCATCAAAGGAGCTTCCTGTGTTGTTTTTGTTAAACAAGAGCCAAAGAAACTGCTTAACGTAAATGTGCGTTGCCAAAGCAAGTTCCATGAAAGAGTTCTCTACTATTTTTTTCTATTTTATATGCCAAGAAAAAGTCCATCTGTGGATTGAGCAGCCCCGTGCTACACTTTGTATGTGAAAATCAAGGCAGATGATTCATCATTTTATAGCATTAAACCCTAGTGACTCTGTCTAGGATTGTTTATAAAATGTTGTAGCCACTATGATGCCTACACACTAGGGCAGTTTTTCTCAACCTTGGCAGCTTTCAGATTTGTGAATTCCAACCCCCAGAATCCCCCAGCCAGCCAGCTGGGGAATTCTGGGAGTTGGAATCCACACATCTGAAAGCTGCCAAGGTTGAGAAACACTGCCCTAGTGTGTAGGCATCATAGTGGCTACAACATTTTATAAACAATCCTAGACAGAGTCACTAGGGTTTAATGCTATAAAATGATGAATCATCTGCCTTGATTTTCACATACAAAGTGTAGCACGGGGCTGCTCAATCCACAGATGG